TCACAGCACCTCAAACTCTTGGGCTCAAGTGATTCTCTTGCCTCAGCCTCCCAAGTAGCTGGGACTACAGGCGCCCACCACAATGCCCAGCTATTGATCAATAAAAATTTTTATTCTAAGGTAAAGAACATTTTATAGTGTTATTTTTCCCTAAAATATAGACCTTTATTCTCAAACATTAATGTGTACCAGAATCACTGAGCATACTTAGTAAAATGCCCCCTCAGAGTTTCTGATACAGTAGATTTGAGATGGGGCGAGCTTTGATTTCTTACCAGTTCCCAAGGGATGCTGATGCTGCTGACTGAAAGAACTCAACTTTGTGAGACCCATTGCCTTAAGACATCCATTGTTGGTAATAAATTAACTTTTTCCTAAGCCTCTAAGGTGGTATTATTTATATACCATTGCTTGGGAAAATTGAGAAAATAGTCACTAAATAATTTTTCTCTGTTCTACGGTTCAAATCAGGAATTGAATTTAAAAAATCTGTTTTAGACCAAGGTGGGTGGATTGCCTGAGCTCACAGGTTCTAGACCAGCCTAAACAAGAGTGAGACCCCCGTCTCTAAAAATAGCCAGGTGTTGTGGCAGGCACCTATAGCCCCAGCTACTAAGGAGGCTGAGGCAAGAGAATCCCTTGAGCCAAAGAGTTTGGGGTTGCTGTGAACTATGATGCCATGGCATTCTACCAATAGGCGACAAACTGAGACTCTATCTCAAAAAAAAAATCTGTTTTAGGAAATTCACATGGTGGGTGCTACCTATAGCTTGGTGGGTAGGGCACTGGACACTTGCACCAAGGCTGGTGGTTTGGAACCCTGCCTGGGCCTGCTAAACAAAAATGACAACTGCAATGAAAAAAACAGCTGCTGGCTTAGCGCTTACATCTCACTGAGTAGGGCGCCAGCCACATACATCCAGCCTGGCGCATTCGAGCCCTGCCTGGGCTTGCTAAACAAAAATGACAACTGCAACCAAAAAATAGCCAGACATTGTAGCGGGCGCCTGTAGTCCCAGCTACGAAGTTGCTGTGAGCTGAGACGATAGGGCACTCTATGGAGGGTGACATAGTGAGACTTTGTCTCAGAAAAAAAAAATTCACATGGTATAAGAGACATTGTTATGTTCTCTGACATTTTCAGTATTACAACATTGTATTTTTTATATGTATAACATTTCAATATTAATTAATGAAACACATGCTTAGCAGAAATGCCAAGAATCATTGCTAGTTAGGTAGATAACTTTTTCTAGATAATTTTTTTTTGTAAAGAAGAGTCTCACTTTATGGCCCTGGGTAGAATGCCGTGGCATCACACAGCTCACAGCAACCTCCAACTCCTAGGTTTAGGCGATTCTCTTGCCTTAGCCTCCTGAGTAGCTGGGACTAAGGTGCCTGCCCCAACGCCCAGCTATTTTTTTGTTGCCGTTTCGCCGGGCCAGGTTCAAACCTGCCACCCTTGGTATATCAGGCTGGCGCCTTACCAACCGAGCCATAGGCACCACCCTAAATTTTTGTTATACAAAGATACTTTCCTCATAAATACATTGAGAGGCATCAATTAAGTGATGTTTTAAGCAAAAGACATGCCTTATTGCAGAATATTACAACATGATATTTTGAAAATAAAGGATTTTGGCTTGACAATATTTTATTTGTAGGAGTGCCATTGAAAGAAGGTTCTACAAGATGTTAATGCTAATAGTTTATCACTTTAACTTTATATGTAAAGTTAGAGGGTAAAACTAACAAGAAGGATATTGACAACAGTAAGAAAACAAGGGAAGTTCAAGATGAGATGATTTGATTTATCTTAAGAAATTGGCTGGCTGGGCGCCTGTGGCTCAAGCAGCTAAGGTGTCAGCCACATACACCTGAGCTGGCAGGTTCGAATCCAGCCTGGGCCCGCCAAACAACGACAGCTGCAACCAAAAACTAGCCGGGCATTGTGGCGGGCACCTGTAGTCCTAGCTACTTGGGAGGCAGAGGCAGGAAACTCATTTGAGCCCAGGAGTTAGAGGTTGCTGTGAGCTGTGATGCTGAGGCACTCTACCCCGGTGACAGCTTGAGGCTCTGTCTCAAAAAAAAAAGGAAAAAGAAATTGCCTCTACGCCAGGTGTGGTGGCTCAATTCTGTATTCCCAGCACTTGGGTGGCTGAGGCAAGAGAATCACTTAAGCCCAAGAGTTTGAGGTTGCTGTGAACTGTGATGCTACAGCACTCTTAACAAGGGCAACTAAGTGAGACTCTTGTATCAAAAAAAGAAAAGGAGGAGGAAAATTGGCTCCAGCCTGGACAAGAGCAAGACCTTATTTCTATTAAATATAGAACAAATTAGGCGGGTATTGGTATTGTGGCTGTTGCCTGTAGTCCCAGCTACTCGGGAGGCTAAGACAGGAATATTGCTTGAATCCAGGATTGCTCTGAGCTAGCAAGACATCATGGCACTCTAGCCTGGGCAACAGAATGAGATTCTGTCTTCCAAAAAAAAAGCGGGAGAGGGGAGGAGAAATTTGGCTAATTGTAAATTAAAGGAGATAATTACTGGCATATATGTAATTATAAATTTCTATAAACTACATAATTAAGATAAAATTCTAAATTTTATTCAAAGAAGACCCACTTTGCACCATGCAGAGCCATTTTAACCAGGATATTTTCATAATTTGACTTTTAGGGCGGCAGCAATGACTCTCCGCACAGTGTTATTGTCATTGCAAGCACTATTGGCAGCTGCAGAACCAGATGATCCACAAGATGCAGTAGTAGCAAATCAGGTAAGTCGGCTGCTTTTGAAGGATTTTTCTTACACCGTGTATGATTCTCTAACCACTTCAGCAGTTTGTGATGTTAATAAATGAGCATACTCTGTTGAAACTAAATTTGGAGATTTTTTTTCCTTACAGTAAAATTATTTTGTCAGATTTAATACTGAAAACTAAGTGTATTAATTTTTAATGGGTTGTGTGGTAGATGTTTTCCTAATGTGAAAATTTTTTCAACATACAAAGTCAAAAGAATTACTGCGTAAACACCCTTATAACTACCACCTATTCTGTGATTAACACTTTACTGCACATGTTTTATCCTGTATTTTTTTTTTTTTTTTGAGACAGAGTCTGACTTTGTCAACCTTGGTAGAGTGCCACTCAGACTCTTGGGCTCAAACAATTCTCTTGCCTCAGCCTCCGTAGCTGGCACTATAGGCGCCTGCTACAACACCTGGCTTTTTTTAGAGACGAGGTCTTACTCTGGCTCAGGCTGGTCTTGAACCTAGAGAACTCAGGCAAACCACCTGCCTCGGCCTCCCAAGT